AAGCGTATCCATTGCCAATTTTCTAGACGTCGCGATTTTCATTTACGCCGCCATCAAAGTTGTCCTCATCGTGTCCGTCATCGTTTTCGTCGTTTACACTTTTACGTCACCTTCGTAGCTATTTTCTTTATCTTCGGAAATGTAATAGTCATTAAATTCGTGTTCAAGGTCGTCGCATTTTCTTCTTAATCGTTTCCGTCTCCCTCTTCGTCTACGTCGCTGTTCTCCTTTTCATCGCCATCGCTGTTGGCATTTTCATATTCGTCGTCGTTTTCATTTTTGTCATTTTTACGTAACCATCTTCGCTAACTACTTTTTATTCTTCATCATAACCATCGTACTTTCAGCATCTTTCTCTTCGAGATCGCCGCATTTCCTTCGTCGTCCATTATCTCTTTTACGTCGCCAACGATTTTTCTGTCTTCACATTCGTCGTCGTTTCGTTTTTGCCATTTTTATGTTACCATCTTCGCTAACTTATTTTTATTCTCCACCATAGCCATCGTAGTTTCATCATTTTTTTGTTCGAGATCGCCGCATTTACTTCGTCGTTCATTTTCTCATTTACGTCGCCAACGATTTTGCTGTCTTCATATTCTTCGTCGTTTTCGTTTTTTTCCCATTTTTTTGTCACCATCTACGCCATTTTCTTTATCTTCTTCAATGTAGCCACCGTTTTTTTCCATCATATTCGTGTTCCAGGTGATCGCCTTTTCTTCCCAATCGTATCCACTTACATTTTTAATGTCGTCACCGTACTCATTTATCCCACCTTCGAATTTCCCATCTTCATAGCCGTATTTCTGTTCCTTTTGCTGTCATTTTTGTCCTTATTTCACCCTTCGTTTTTTATCTTTGCTGATGTATTAATAGTCGGTAACATCGCTTCACAGTCATCCCCGTCAACATCATATTCCACTTTGACACTTTTGCCTTTTTTTATGTCACCGTCGTTGCCATTTTCTTTTTCGTCGTCATTGTCCTTTCCGTCGTTTCTTTGTCTTCGTCGTCTCCCGTGTCATTGTTCTTATTATCGTCGTCCATAAAATCATGCTCTTTGTCGTCGTCGTCGTAGTCCTGATCGTCAGTTTTCGACGCGTATATTTTCCTTCTAGATCTTGTTCTATTCACTTTCGTCGCAATCTTCCTTTTTCTCCTCATCGTAGCCGTTGCCATTTCGGTCGCCATCGAGGCTAGTCCCAGTGACAATATTCATGTTCGCCGTCATTTCCGTTTTGCTCATCTTTTTCGTCGTCATTGCAACGAGCCCACATCACGATTGGGAGAATGGGACATCTTCAGCTTGGGATGGCACCGTGTCTGAAGCCTCTTGATTGGCAGACAGTTGGGCAGATTTGCTTCTGCCTCCACGGATTGGGGGTTGGTGGACCGGATGAAGAGAGTCGCCAGGATGGGCTCGTGTTGGCCTCTCGCGTGAGTCTCAAAGCCCACAGACCGAGACATGGTACCAAGCCACTTTTTGTACATTCGCCAAATTGAGCGCAGAAATGAGGGCCTCTATCGCGTGTCCACATTGTCCGACGAGGCGGTGTGTGAGTAATTGTGCTTTTTGGGTGGGTTTTTTCGCATGCTCAGCTTCGGTTGAGTTCGTCGTATGCTGCGACGACTAGCAGCGGTGATCCATCCATCTTGCGCCATCCTCAACAGGAAATGAGTAACCCCACTCTACATACGTGCACGCATGTGGCGGTAAGCAAACAAGCGCCAGTTTCTACCCCACGCTCGAGAAATACACACAGATGCACATGCGTATACACACATATTAACATTCAAACACACAAACA